CCTGGGATAAGGCAGGTCTGGGCCGAGGCTCACTTTGGTGCTCATGGATCTGCAACCCTGTTCTGATTTTTCATTTTTTTTTTTTTTTTTTTGAGACGGAATTTTGCTCTTGTTGTCCAGGCTGGAGTGCAATGATGTGATCTTGGCTCACCACAACCTCTGCCTCCCGGGTTCAAGCAATTCTCCTGCCTCAGCCTCCTGAGTAGCTGGGATTACAGGCATGTGCCACCATGCTCGGCTAATTTTTAGTAGATACGGGGTTTCTCCATGTTGGTCAGGCTGGTCGCGAACTCCTGACCTCAGGTGATCCACCTGCCTCGGCCTCCCAAAGTGCTGGCATTACAGGCATGAGCTAGGCGCCCGGCCTGATTTTCCTTTTTAATAGCACAAGTCTCAGGCTTGCAGCCTCAGCATGCAATAACAGGTAGCAAAAATCTAATGTTTGTCTTGTATTTACTTTCATAGTCACTTTTATGGTCATCTGAATTTGTGGCAAATTATGCTGATTTTGCTTTTTGGTGACATCGTTTTCCTTTAAAAGGGGGACTGAGGGCGAGGCACCGTGGCTCACACCTGTGTTCCTAGTAGTCGGGAGGCTGAAGCGGGAGGATTACTTGAGCCCAGCAGGTTGAGGCTGCAGAGCTGTAATCGTGCCACTGCACTGGAGCCTGTGTGACAGAGGAGACCCTGTCCCCCCAAAAAAGTGGTGGCAGGAGTTGAGACATACTAGGAACATAAAAGCAGTTGTGAGGCAGATGTGGCAAAACTGACAACGGTGGTGGAGTGTGAGTTTGGGGAACGCTAAGCCAGGGACTGAACACCGTGAGGGTGGGGCTCACACATCTTTTCATTCATAGCAGCAGCCACCTTGCTTCCGAGGCCAATCTCTATCCTAGGCCCAAGGGCATGGTGTGGCCGGAAATACCAGTGGCTGGGGACTCAGATATCCCATGTCCTAGTCAGCAGCTTCCCCTTTGTCAGCTGCGATGTCAGGACAAGTTAGCTTCTCTGCACCTTCATGTCAGCACCTGAAACCCGGGGTTCCTACACCCTTTACAGGGTTTGGGGGTTTTTGGAGGAGTGCGGAAGGATTGGGGTTGGACTGTTTTGAGAATACCTTGGATTCCAGCGCTCTACAATTAGTCCCAGGAACTACACATCCGTTCTGAAAATACCCATTGGGTAGCTGCATATTCATGATGCCTGAGCTTCAGGTGTTTTTAGGAACATTCTCCTTGTAGGGTGTAGAGAAGCCCCTTATCCAGAGGCCTCTCCTTGGGGGAGAGGGTTCTAGCTGAGCTTCCCCAGGGGATGCTGATCCAGCTTTGCTGGCAGACGGAGTGGCATCGGGTAAGCCATGCCACTGTCTCTTCCTCTGTGTCTCCAAGGCGGGATCTCTACTCTTGATTCCTAGACTTGCAGATGGCTACTTCATGTACACAGCTGTCACGTCCCACTGCAGTCTAGGATGGCAGCCAGTACAGCACTCACATCAAGTATATTGGAAAAGCCCTTTTACTTCTACTGCTTTACGGTTCCTAAAAGGTGCCTGGTCTGCATATTAAGAGTATCCATTTTGCTTCACTTGTAGTAATAAGACACTATTAAAGGTACACACATAAAATAAGGATTCTTTCTTTTCTAAGACGGAGTTTCACTCTTGTCATTCAGGCTGGAGTGCAATGGTATGATCCTGGCTCACTGCAACCTCTGCCTCCTGGATTCAAGTGATTCTCCTGCCTCAGCCTCCTGAGTAGCTGGGATTACAGGTGCCTGCCACCACACCCGGCTAATTTTTGTATTTTTAGTAGAGACAGGGTTTCACCATGTTAGCCAGGCTGGTCTCAAACTCCTGACCTCAGGTGATCCACCCGCCTCAGCCTCCCAAAGTGCTGGGATTACAGGCATGAGCCACCATGCCCGGCTAAAATGAGGATTTTTAATTGCAAAAACCAGTTCAGGTTTAAATGGTCTTACACCTTAAGGATAGGTGGTGTCCTAGATGGGGAAGGGGTTTGCATCACAGATGCATTGACGCCATATGCTGAAAAAACACACATGCAACCAAACTCATTAAATAGCGTGGAAGATTTGTCCTGGAAATGACTAGGGACCTTCCTTCCCACGTCGCCTCCTCTTGGTTGGAACACTTTGAAATCATGACTTAAGAATTTTCAGGGGGTGATTTTGACTATATGCAACTCTTATGTGCTGACTTTAAAACACAACCCCACCTATATTGTAGCTCCACTGCATTCAAGTTACAGTGAGTAGTCTGTTACTAAAGTGATACAAGTTGGTGGGAAGCAGGATGCAAAGAATTAGCAAACGGGGACCTTCCTTTGGTCAAGTTTTCAAGCCAACTTTCCAGCAGCTGGGAGAAATGCCTTTTAGTTTCAAACCTGCCTGTCAAGTTTCTATCAGCTAAGATGTTATTTTTCTAGATTACCTCATGGTGACCCACTGATAATTGGTATGTTGGAATGCCATTTCCTAATGGTGGGAGCGGCCTCTTCTAGTCTTCCGGAAGCTTTTGAGATGTTCTTTCATGACATTTTGGTGAAACATGCCTCAACTGGCACCTCATTATTGCTCAGCAGGGGGGTTAGAAGGGTCACAACAGGCAGGAAAAAAAGAAAAACTGCCTGATACTCTGCAAAATCCATGTATTCAACATGTTCTACTTAATTTCATTGGGGAAATAAAATTTCCATCACTCAAGCGAAATGGTTCTCAAATGCTAGTGGCATAGAACCACCTAGAGATGGACGGGAGTGGTGGTTCATGCCTGTAATCCCAGCACTTTGGAAGGCTGAGGCGGGCGGATCACGAAGTCAGGAGATGGAGACCATTCTGGCTAACATTGTGAAACCCCGTCTTTACTAAAAATACACATGCAAAAAATTAGCCAGGCAGGGTGGCAAGTGCCTGTACTAGTCCCAGCTACTTGGGAGGCTGAGGCAGGAGAATCACTTGAACCCAGGAGGCAGAGGTTGCAGTGAGCTGAGATGGTGCCACTGCACTCCAGCCTGGGCAACAGAGCAAGACTCCATCTCAAAACAAAAACAAAACAAAACCCCGAGCCACCTACAGATAATTCTTGAGCCTCATCTCAAGGGCTCAGTGCTAGTCTGAGGTCTAAGTAGTAAAGGAACTACATGTCTATATGGCAGTACTTATTTAGCAATAAGCAGGTTTAATCATTTCTAGCGTGAAGCATCTCAGATGGGAAACTCCCGTGTTTAATACATCCAGTTTTCAAATCTGGCACATTTTGTTCATGCCAGAAATGGATGTCGTTACAAAGGGGCAGGCATTGGGATCAAACTGACATACAACTCTAAAGCAGTATGAGAGGCAGATACCCTTTCTGCTTGAATTTCAAGAGGGAACCAAGCTGTTCTCTCCCTATACTCTACAATGATGAGGAACCAAAGATAGGATGAGAAAATGCTCTATGTGATAAACAAGGAGAGAAACCACAGTCCTAGCTTGTCTGACTATGGAACTCATTCCCACAAGAAAACTTGCAGGGCCAGAAACACGCCCCACCCCCTCCTGCAAAAAAAAAACAAAACACCAGAACTCTCTAGGATACTTAGGTTTTCTCATGTTAGAATTGTTCAGCCTACATTTATAGGCATTCTGTAATTAGGAGGTGCCATGTTGCCATAGCCAACAATCTTCACATTATTTGGAAAGCAGACAGCAGCAACAATATTCTTTTAAAATGGCTTTTATTGAGACACTTTTAGGGATTCTGCAACATTTCCAGTTGGGAATCTTTATTTCCAACTCTTAGGGTGGCTAAACCCTTCTCTGAATGCCAAAAGGCACACTCCCACCACCTTAATGAGGAAACACACTTATCTGTCTCTACTCCGATATCCAACTGGGACCTGGACCCCAAGCCCCGTGGTGTCTTGTACGAGTCTCATTAGTCCTCCACGTACAACTCAGAAGCCTGTTAATCAGGGAGGGTAATTTCCAAATAAATGTGAGCTGGCCTAAATCCAGCTGGTATTTCTGATTCGGTAATCTACAGCATCTTAATTTGGGGACATCCTGTCCTAAGTTTTGGCTGGTGCATGTAGAATTTATAATCTACCTGTATAACAACAGATGTAACATAGCTCCGTTCCAGCCCCAAATTCCTTAAAGGTTCTAATCTATTCTTGCACTTCTTTCTGTACTGTTGTTGAGAAGCTTAACATTTTAGGGAGAGGCTGGTCAAATCTCTACTCTCTGGTAACAGCATTAACAAGAGTCTTTTGGAAAGGGACTCAGAAGTTATGGACATCAGCCACTTCAGACTTCTTTACACCAGTATCCTTGACAGATGACTGACCAGCCTCCTCATGGACTGGAGCATCCCATCATTGTTTTAATTGCTGGAAATGTTGGCCTAATTCTGCTTCCTTGTAACTTTCTGCTTTTTAGTACAAGTTGCTCTTGGGAATCTATGCACGGTAAAAATACCAGCTCCTTCCATCTTTACAGCCCTGTAAGTGTGTGCTCTTCAAAGCCTTTCCCTTAATAGCAAGATGGCCAAGAGTGGCAACAGAGGCAGAGCTGCCTACACTACAATTGTTCCCATTGTAAGGTGAAAACGAACACTTAACTTCATCTACAAGGGAAAAAAAAAACCCCATCAAGGCTATTAAGATTCTGCTTGCAAATTAATGCCAATCCATGTTTACATTTTTTTTTAAAATCACTGAGACATTTACATATATATCCAGGCTCTGCTCCTTAACAAAAGGTGAACTGAAAAACTCAAGGGTGTTTATTTTTCAGTTAAAAGAGAAAAACAAAAAACAAAAACGCAAAACAGATTTTGTACCAGGTGCCTCAAGAGAAAGCATTCTTTATGCAGATGACAGATCTTGGGTTTTCCACAAGTTTCCTCTGTGACTGTGGCTGCCATCTCTGATGAAAGAGTTATGGCATTAAATGGCAAAAGATATAATGGACACACAGAACTGTCATGGGTAATAAAGCAAATATTTACATTAAGCACAATACAGCAATTTATTTAGATGCTTAAAATGAATACAAAGGGAAATAAAGATCACAAAATTATACATACTACAACAGTGTGTCATATATTAGATGGTATAAATGAATGCACCATGATGGTGTTGAACTAAAGATAAAACTAAATATCCAAAATGCAGCACTCATTGGTTTGCTGCTTCAACACAACACACTTTTATACAGATCTAAAAGGTGTCAAAATTAGTAGCTGCAAAGTCAATTCTTGCATGTGATTTTAGCTTAAAAGATTTCAGAAAACAGATCTGAAATACCAGTTTTTGTTTTTGACAGCTGTAATGTCAAGGATATTCAGAACAAGAAAAATCCTATAATACAAGAGAGTCCAGATATATATCTTACGTGGCTGGCCTCTGTTGCAAGATTGTACAAGGTTATGTGCAAAAACTAAGTCTGTCCAAAAGTCCATACTAGCGCAGTTTTGAGCTTTTGCTAGGTAAACTAGATATAGCGTTTATTACACAGCAAGGGCAACACTAAAAAAAGAAATCTATGATGGGCACACAATAACAGTATCATGAGCATCACTTGAATAGGTCTAAAAGACTGTACAAATATACATTTCAACTATTCAGAATGAATACATGAAAAAAAAATCGCTTTTCCCAAAGTCTACTATACACATTAGACTGGTAGCTTGTATGTTGGCCCTACACTACCATGTGAATTAGGTTAACGCTTCTCAAAGACATCTGACCAATCATTTCACAGAGGGAAAGAAATGTTGAAAAGGCAGATAAAATAAACCTCTGCTTTTCCTCGTATGTATTCATGAGCCACCAGCTTATTGGTTTTTCACATTTAGTTACCGTGTCTGTCAGAGAAGGTTCTGAAGCAAGATCAGCCTGTCGTGTCATAGACTTAGAAATAACCACTGGAACTGCAGCGGCCACATGCCCCACAGTCCAACCAGTACTCACAAGGCAGTACCAGTGAGAAGACAGCTTTGCAGTCACACTGAATGGAGATCAGAGTTCCAGGCTGCAGCATGTCACCAATGCCAAGGAACCTGGCACTTAGGCCTGTTGGCTGCTCAGTTTAACTCCAGCTAAGCTGCCATGCATGGGCTCAGCTACTCCGTCAGTCATGTTGTCAAACTGTTCCCCATCCTCACTGTCAATTGTGCTATTCTGCCACTCAATCTGGGGGTTAGATAAGCGCTCATCATTCTCAGCTGCATTCTTCCACTGTGACTGGTCCTTAGACCAAAACCCTTCAACTTTTCCATAGGAACTATTCTTCCATTTCAACTGCTCTCTGTCACCTTGCATGGTAGCCTTTTTTTTGGCAGCTGGCTTACTGCTCCTTGCATCTTCACTTTGGGAAGACTCATCAGACCAGGTTCCTGGTTTCATTTCACAGGTATTGTCCTCAAAGTCTGACACTTGTTGGGATCCAGGCCCACTCTCAGATGGAGAAGCTCCGTCTTTCCACTCAACAACATCGTCTTGGTCAACCTCACTATCAGAAGCATTGTGCATTAGTTTGGTTGGTTCCTCAGTCAAATGAATAGTTTCGTATTTTGAACCATCCTCCTCTTTTTGGTCTAGCTTCTCCTCAGATTCTAAAGCATCCTCAGGAATTACCTTCAGTACATGTTCCTCTGGGTTACTGTTAGAGATTTTAGGCTCAACCTCAAAAACAGGGTCAAAAGGGCTACCACTTTCATTGGATTCTTCTTCCAAATTTCCAAAACTGTCTGAGGAACTGTCATCTTCTTTCCCAAGGTTAAGCTTTTTGTCAGCAGTCTTACTTGCGTTGACTCTGGAATCCTTCTCATCATGATTTTCAAATAGCCACTCAGCATCAAAATCCATCTCATGCTTGACTTTATTTAATTCTTTCATGTTAAACCCCAGCAACACGCCAGGCTTGTACTTTTCACAATCACGGACACATTTCTTCCTTTTGTTACTAAAATGGGAAGCAATGTCACTCTTCCATAACCATAAACTGGCTGCTAGCTTCTCAATTTCTCTCCTGGTGGGATAGGGCTGTTTGTTGAAATACTTTGTTAGAAAGCTTTTCCTGGCTTCATAGGAATCATCTTCATGACCCTTGGGGTCTAAAGCTAAAACAACAGGCTCTTCAGGCTTCTCCTCAAAGAAGCTGGGTGAATCACTATCATCATCTAACTTTCGTTTTTTCAGTAAGGGAAATTCCATTTGCTCATAAGTGCGCTTCACAGGTGCCAGGCTTGGAGACTGATTAAGCCGAGAGGGTGCATTTGTCTTATCCTGGCCATTTTGGGTCTTTCCAACACCCCTGCAGTGAACTAGATGCAGAGTGATAGTCGAGGCGGTCATGTTGCTGGTATACACACCAAGGCAATGGATACATTTGTAGGTGAGCTTTTTCTCAACTGGATGAACCGTCTGAATAACCTGGTGCCTCTCTCGTAAATGATGTGCAAGTGCATCAGATATGGGTCCTTTTAGGATTGAAAAGCAAAGAGGACAAAGGGTTTTCCCAACATCTTTTTTATAGGGCACTGCAGCTTGAGGTGAACTTTTAACAGGGATATCTGCCTTTTCCTGAACTTTTGGCTGTGGCTTTGGAGGAACTGGAGGGTTATTCTGGGCATGGTAAGCAACAGATTCAGCTGGGGCATCCCTCAGATTGTATGTGGTCACCAGGAGATGGATGTTAGTGTGACTACCCTGCTGCAATGTCAAATCAAAACTCAAAGTAGAATCTGTTTTAGGTCCCATCTCTTCATCGATGTGAACCATCCGCATGTGTGCGGCCATCTTCTCCACATCATTGAAAGTTGAACGGCAATATGGACAAGACAGACCATGAATTAACATATGGTTGAGCAGAGTATCTGTGGGCAAATAGCGATTACAGTAGAGGCATTTGCTAGTAAAATTGTGTATCTTCATAATGTAGTTGGCTACTGCTGGGACTTTCTCAGCTTTATGTTCTTTTTCGAAGTGCACACTATAGACATTTTCAGGAAAAAGCTCATTACAGATTGTACATATTTTCCACTTTTGAGTTGAGGAAGTGTTACCTGGGGGAGGTCCTGTGGCAGCTGCAGCAGGTTTGGAACTGGACTGACCTAACACTCTGGATGCCTGTGACTGGGAGAGGGAAGGAGACTTTAACTGGCCCGATGAGAGAGAAGAGGCATTAGCAGACTGCAGTGAGTATCTTGCTGGTGCCTGGGACCTCTGCTCTGACCCAAGCCCGTAAGACCTTCCATTTCCACTTGGAAGTAACTGCTTTACAGACTGAGATTGTTGAGGAATAGAAACTGGTGCGTTGCCACCTAGACCCAGTCTCATTGACTGACCAACACTGTAACCCTGGCCTACAGATTTGACTCCATAGTTGTTCTGCTGCAGGTGAACACTGGACATCATGTTGACTCCTGTAGAATTTAAGTTAGGCTTTGGTATTGAGAGTCGATTCACCATCTGCTGTGATGGTAAAGACCGGACATTTCCAGAAGCAAGGGAACCGATTCTTGGTGGAAGTCCCATGCTCTTCTTGTCTTGAGGTTTGGGAGCAATTAGCATCAAGGGTTTGGATCGGGGAACCACTACATTTGTGTGCCCAATCATGGCAGTGACCTGATAGCCTATACGTTCATGGTCTTCGATGACATGCTGTACCAAAGCTTCATAGGACTTTGGCATGAAAAGGCATCGCTTGCAGTGAATACTACTCTCTTCTCGGGCATTTGAGCCTAAGGGGACTGCCCCATTGAGTGATTTTTCTCCTGCCTTTGCTATGTAAGGTGCTGCCACATGCTGAAAATGTTCCCTGTAAATGTGCTTCCTAACTATTTCGTAAAGAGGATCTCGGTAAGTGCACTTCTTACAGTAATAAACAGCTTGCTCTACACTGTCAGCCTGCTTAGGTTTAAGGCCATCATTTTTGTTTTTATCTTTGAAAGTGCTGAGGCTGCTACTTGGTGCGCTGGCGTTTGGAGCATGAAATATTTTAATGTGTGTTTCCAAAGTCTTTTTGTCTGCATTGAAGGTACAGTAGGGGCAATTAAGGAGAATCCTATTTTCAAAGTCTTCACTATGGACATTTCGGAAATGACTTTTGTAGGCAGAGAAGAATTTTGAGGAAAATGGACAAGCGCTGCAGCAGAAAGGTTTTGTCCGATAGTCCTAAAGTAAACACAAAAACTAAAATTAGAATGCCACTTCAGATAGGCAGTTAACAGATTCCAGATCCCCCCCAGACATTCTTAATAATGCATTTATTTTAGGCCAGGCACGGTGGCTCACGCCTGTAATCCCAGCACTGTGGGAGGCCGAGGTGGGTGGATCACCTGAGGTCAGGAGTTCAAGACCAGCTTGGCCAACATGGTGAAACCCCGTCTCAACTAAAAATATAAAAAAATAAGCTGGGTGTAGTGGGCGCCTGTAATCCCAGCTACTTCAGGAGGGTGAGGCAGGAGAATCGCTTGAAGCTGGGAGGTGGAGGTTGCAATAAGCCGAGACCACGCCATTGCACTTCAGCCTGGGTGACAAGAGCAAAACTGTCTCAAAAGACAAAACAAAAAAAAGCCACAGATTTTATTATGTTTTTTCCTTTTGTATAGTAACTTTATAAAATTGAAACTCAAAAAAAGCTATCCTAAACCAAATATTTTTGTCAGTGTAAATTAAAAAGTCAATGTTAAGTTCCTAATGTTTAGGAAAAAAAAGTCACATTTTAGCCAAACCAAAGACAAATGACTTCAAGATAAACATTTTGCAGCTAGAAATAACAATAACCTAAATGAAGGAAGTCGCTAAAGACTTCAGGTTTACTACACAGTCATGTGTTGCTAAACCACAGGGATGCATTCTGAAAAATGCATCATGGTGTGAAATCCTAGAGTGTATTCACACAGACCTAGATGGTGCAACCTACTACACACCTGGGTTACATGGCACAGCTTATTGCTCTTAGGCTACAAACCTGTACAGCATGTTTCTGTACTGAATACCATAGGCAATAATTAACACAACGGTAAATATTTGTATGTTTAAACATAGCTAAGTACAGAAAAAGTATGGTAAAAATACGATATAAAAGATAACTGGTACAACTATATTGGGCACTTACCATGAACAAAGCTTACAGGACTGTAGGTTGCTCTGGGTGAGTCAATATGAAAGCCTGGGGCATTACTGTACACTACTGTAGACTTTAAGAACACTTAAGCTACACAAATTTACTAAAAACAAAACAATTTTTTTGAGACAAAGTCTCATTCTGTTGCTCAGGCTGGAGTGCAGTGGCACAATCGGCTGACTGCAGTCTCAACCTCTTGGGCTCACGCGATCCTCCCACCTCCACCTCAGTCCTGGTGACTACAGGTGTGTGCCACCACACTAGGGTAAATTCTGTAGAGATAGAGTCTCACTCTTTTGTCCAGGCTAGCCTTGAACTCCTAGGCTTGAGCAATCCTCCTGCCTTGGCTTCCCAAAGTGGTGGGATTGCAAGCCACTGTGCCCAGCCCTAAAAAATATTTTTTCTTGAATAATAACCTCAGCTTGCTGTGGTTTATACACTTTTCAATTTTTAACTTTTTTACTCTTTTGTAGTAATACTTAGCTTAAAACACAAACAGACTGGCCGGGCACGGTGGCTCACGCCTGTAATCCCAGCACTTTGGAAGGCCCAGGCGGGTGGATTACCTGAGGTCAGGAGTTTGAGACCAGCCTGACCGACATGGTGAAACCCTATCTTTACTGAAAATACAAAAAATAGCCAGGCGTGGTGGCAGGCACCTGTAATCCCAGCTACTTGGGAGGCTGAGGCAGGAGAATCACCAGGAGGCAGAGGTTGCAGTGAGCCTAGATCAGAGCACAGCACTCTAGCCTGGGTAACATAGCAAGACTCCATCTCAAAAACGAAACAAAACAACACACATTGTACAGCTGTAAAAAAATATTTTCTATCTTCATATACCTATTCTACAAGCTTTAAAAAAAAATTAAAAAAAAAAAAAAACTTTCCCAGCACTTTGAGAGGCCAAGGCAGGTATGGATCACAAGGTCAGGAGTTCGACACCAGCCTGGCCAACACAGCGAAACCCCATCTCTACTAAAAATACAAAAAATTAACCGGACGTGGTGGCAGGTGCCTGTAATTCCAGTTACTTGGGAGGCTGAGGTTGCAATGGGCTGAGATCGTGCCACTGCACTCCAGCCTGGGCGATAAGAGCAAGACTCTGTCTCAAAAAAACAAAAAAAAAAAACAAAAAACAGAAAACCCAAAAACTTAAAAATACATTTTCTTCCTAAAAGCTAAGACACAAACACATACATTAGGCCTAGAGAGAATGAGGATCAACAGTATCACTACCTTCCACCTTTACATCTTGTCCCACTGGAGGGTCTTCAGGAACAGTAATACACATGGAACTGCCACCTCCCATGGTAACAATGCCTTCTTCTGGATAACTGTGGAAGGACCTGCCTTAGGCTCTTCTTGAGGCCGTGTCACACTTATCAGGAGTGAGTCCAAGGTGCTTTGTTTCCTTTTTTCATCACAGATTTGCTTGTAAGCAGATAATGAACCATGAATATTCTTCTCTATTAACGAAAAGCTTTTGGTATTGAGATCCATGTTTTCAAACTTTGTTGTTGTTGTTTGAGACGGAGTTTTTTTTCTCTTGTCGCCCAAGCTGGAGTGCAATGGCACGATCTCGGCTCACTGCAACCTCTGCCTCCCAGGTTCAAGCGATTCTCCTGCCTCAGCCTCCCCGGTAGCCCACCACCATGTCTGGCTAATTTTTTTGTATTTTTAGTAGAGACAGGGTTTCACCATGTCGGCCAGGCTGGTCTCAAACTCCTGACCTCAGATGATCCACCTGCCTCAGACTCCCAAAATGCTGGGATTACAAGTGCGAGCCACCACACCCAGCCACGTGTTTTCAAACTTAAGGAGCTTGCTGAGGTCTGCACTGCTAAATCCTTCACTCTGAATTTTCTTAAGGGTTCTTCTTTTGCTTTTCCTGCAGTTTCCTTTTTCTCTTTCCTCTTCACCTATGCGTTCTTGTTCCAGTTCTCACAGCTCCTCACTAGTCAATTCCTCAGGAACCACCTCTAGGAGCTCTTCTATATCGTCCTCATCCACACTCAGGTTAAAGTTGTTTGCCATCTCAACCACAGACTTTGTGATTTATGCAAATCCTTTTAAGTCATGGACAAACCTCGAGTGTATTCTTCCAGATGCCATTCATACACTCCTTGATGATATCACCCCAAGCCCAAGCAAGATTCTTAACGTAGTCACAGATATTGTAATCCTTCCAGAATCGTATCGGAATCTTTAGTGTCTTCCTCAGCTGCGATGACAGGACAAAGGCCTTTCTCAGATAGTAGGCCTTATAAGCTGCTGTAACTCCATCAGTTGGATCAAAGAGGTGGTGTTTGATACTGGGATGAAAAATGCCACTTAAAGGAGGCATCTGCTTATTATCGACAATAAGCAAAAGCTTGAAGGGTATGTTATTCTCTCAATACTACTTCTCAATTTTGCAGGCATATCAATTCAGGACAGCATCTTGAAAGAGGAGCTGGGTCACCCACGACTTATGTCTCCTGCAATGCACGGGCCAAGTGTATGTATATTGATATGCTTGAAGCCCCTAGGGTTCTCACTGTGCCAAATCACAAAGGGTTTCAATTTGTAGCCTGCAACATTGCCCCCAAGCAAGGCTGTCATCCAGGCCTTAAAAGCCTTGAAGCCTGGCATTGCTGTGGTCTCCTTATGGATGAAAGTGCTTTCAGCATCTGTTTCCGGAATAGAAAGGTTTCATCCATACTGAAAATTTGCTCTGGCAAGTGATTTTCCTCCAGACTCAGCTTATCTAGAGTTTCCCAAAATTCTTCAGCTGCCTTCACATCAGCACTCACAAACTCACCACTTTCCCATTATGTAATGAAACTATTCTTTTTATAATTGTTTAAACCACCCAGAACTAGCAGTAAATTCAACATCACAGCCACGTCCAGCCTTTTCTTTCAACACCACACACACAGTTTTTGCTCTGTGATCATCGTGGTGCGGAGAGGTACACAGCACCGTGTGCACCTGTGTCTGCTCTTCACTCCAAGTCATCAGAAGCTTCTCTGTGTCTGATAAAGGTCCTTCTTTAATTTTTGTTAGTCTCATTGCCTTCAATGAAGCAGATGCTTTAACAGCTTCTGTCACTTTGTTCTTGTTCTTCCAAGATCGTAGCTATGGTAAAATGGGACATGCCTGACTGGCAAGAAATAACCATCACTGATTCTCTACCTTCGTAGTCCTTAATCACTTCTAACTCTGTTTTCAGGTCACTCAACATGGCCCCTTACTGGCAACATTATGGATTTTGTATGCTTAGGGGCCATGATGAACAAAATACCATGAGATTAAACCAAGCACAAGAATATGATGCAATCAAGAGACATAGTAAACACAAGCTATATGAGGCTGCTACCAATTTACCATGAAAAGCTGTTTTAGAAAGTAGGAGTACACTCTAAAATAATAAAAAGTATATATAGTAAATACATAAATACAGTTTTTGGTAAGTTTTTAATTGTCATTGTCAAGTAGTCATGTGCTGATGTTTCCGTCTAGTACAGACCGCATATGCGACTATGTTCCCCCAAGATTATGATGGGGCTGAAAAATTTCTGTCACGTAGTATTTACTATATAGTTGACCCTTCAACAACATGGCTTTGAACTGCTTATATGTGGATTTTTTCCAAACAAATGCAGATCAAAGATACAATATTCTCGGGAAGCTCAAATCTCCTATACAGAGGGCTAGCTTTTGGTATATGCAGGTTCCACAGGGCCAACTGTGGGACTTAAGTATGCAAGGATTTTGGTAATGAGGTTTTTTTTTTTTGAGATGGGAGTCTTGCCTTTGTTCCCCAGGCTGGACTGCAATGGCACGACCTCAGCTCACTGCAACCTACACCTCCCAGGTTCAAGCGATTCTCCTGCCTCGCCACCCCAACCCCTTCCAACCCCGAGTAGCTGGGATTACAGGCACCTGCCACCACGCCCAGCAAATTTTTGTGTTTAATTAGCCTAGGCTAATTATGTGTTTGTGTCTTTTTTTTTTTTAACTTTTTGAACTGTTAAAAACTAAGTTTAAGACTAGTAAAAAGTCTGTAAGTATATGAAGACAAAATATTTTTATATAGCTGTACAATTTTTTTTTTTTTTTTGAGCGGTAGCAATGTTCATTGTGAAGAGTGAAAGGACAAAGCTTCCACAGTGTGGAAAGGGGACCCAAGCAGGTTGCCGTGTTTGTGTTTTAAGCTAAGTGTTATTACAAAAGATTCAAAAGTTAAAAATTTTAAAGTTTTATTTTTTATGTAGCCTAAGTGTGCTTATAAAGTCTACAATGGTGTACAATAATGTCCTTCATATTCACTCACCACTCAGAGCAACTTCCATTCCCGCAAGTGCCCAATACAGGTGTACCAATTTTTCTCTTTTATACTGTATTTTTACTGCACCTTTTCAATGCTTCACTATGTTTAGAAACACAAATACTTACCATTGTGTTAATCACTCTTAGGGTATCCAGTATAGTAACATGCTGTTCAAGTTGGTAGCCTAGGAGCAACAGGCCACACCATGTAGCGTAGGGGTATACTAGGCTATACCACCTAGGTCTGTGTAAGTACCCTTTATGATGTTTGTACAACAATGACATCACCTAACAAGGCATTTCTCAGATGGCATCCCATCATTAAGCAATGCATGATGGTATTATGTGCTGTAAATAACTGTATGTGCTATACTTCTATATGACTGGCAGCACAGGTGTGTTTACACCTAGCATCACTACAAACATGAGTCATATGTTGCGTTATGTCATTAGGTAGTAAGTTTTTCAACTCCATTATATTCTTATGGGACCACTGTTGTAGATGTAGTCCATCACTGACCAAAATGTCGTCATGTGGTAAACGACTGCGGTAAAATTCAGGGTCCAGAATGTTTTAGTGCAATTAGACAATTACAAGAGATAAAGCTGTATCTTTTGTTCCTTTCCCCATTATGGATAAATTTTCATAGATAAAAGGCAAATCTCCATTTTTTTCTCTGATTAAAGTACAGTGTAGTATCAGATTCAGTGCTGATCAAAAGAAAGACTGATCTGAAAAGCTGGCTTTCTTCTATAAGCCTTGCTGTTCCTTCTCAACCAAGAATGCTTCAAAAGAGCTAATGAAGTAACAGCTGCTTTGATTCAAATCAAGAAGTTAAATAAAAATGTCCTACAGACTGTGAGGAGGGTGTGGTATTTAAAAGCCAATAATACATTATAGAATATACTGATATCAAAGAGTAACTTTCAGAATTATGACTGTTAACACTTATGCAGTCAGTCCCTTCGATGAAGACAGGTGAACTGACACATGCTTGGCAAGAGATCTTTTCTCCCTAGAAACCTACTTTGTTTCAGATACTGGTTTGAACCAAGATGAAATACTCTGCTTCTCCTCAAAGCTCAACTCTTCTTTAGTATTCAGCTATGAGGCTTTCAGATTGATAAAACTGAAATAAATGCCGTGTCCCACTGGAAAGCATTCTCATTCTAAGACTGCTGGTTAGTACCTCTGCCTGGGGTATTTAAAAAAAAAAAAAAAAAAAGTCAAATATCTGAGGTAAAGTTTAAAAGTACTAATATTTCATGAAGAGTATGTTCCAATAGATGAACAGATTATTAATGCAGAATGAGAATCACTCCTAAAATAGGTAATGGTAAAAATTGAATTGACAATTACCTCTCTCTATGCAAAAGGAAATACCACCTATACCTCCCTCTATCTGTATGACATCATCTTCATCTACTGACACCTGCTGGCACTGCTAATATTGTTTTTAATGTCAATTTGTAAAAAGTTTTCTCTGTCACTGACATCCTACAGAGTCACCTCCCCAGGCCTCCCATAGAAGTTGGGTGCCATTAACACAGAGAAATAAAAAAAGCTTAAATATAAGGAAGGGTCTTGTCTTTTTCTGTGCAGAAAAAATAATAGCAGCAACACAGATGCAGAAAAATAGAGCCAGAGCACTTTTCGGGGAAATGGTGGGATACAGCAGGCTTCATAACTTTTAAGTAACAAAATTTCCTTTTCTTCTTACACCTCAAGTTTCAGTCCAATGACAAAAAACCACAAACAAAAAGTTTTTCTTAGTCTTCCCACTGGTCGGGAAAATATGAAATGCAATTTTGATACTTTTGATGTTTGGCATTTGCCCACAATCACTGCATTGCTATCAAAGGCCTAGAGCTGAGAGGAGTACACCAAGCAGCTGCCATCTGAGGAGGCCTCCTGTGCCACCACACCAAGCAGCTGCCATCTGAGGAGGCCTCCTGTGCCACTACACCAAGCAGCTGCTACCTGAGGCCTCCTGTGCCACTTACCTGGTTTTTCGTAAGTGAAGGATCCCACAGGCCTACATCCTCCCATGTAGTGTTTTTCAAATAAAAGTCATTAGGTTCAAATTGTTTAAAATCCTAGAAAACAGTGAAAGAAGTTTACAAAAACATAGTGGTATAAATGCTAACCTCATCTTACATGTAAATCCCACCTCTTAACTAAGATGGGGAGAGGCACAGGAAAACCAACGTCAACAAGGACTTAAACTAGGAGTGATGAGGCTCTTAAATATAAAAAGGCATATGGAAGTTGCAGTCTACATTTTGTATCAACCAACCACTTTCCTGATGGTCAGCCAGGTTTCCAAGGAAACTGCTGGAAGTTCTAATTAAGTAAAAAAATTCAGCCACACACTAATATCAAAGCACTTTTCATTAGAGTACTGTAACTTGTCAGTTACAGTACTGGAATCACATCTAAAATAGCAATGTTTGCTTATAGCACTGCAGATATTTCTGGTTCTGTGCAAAAGAAAAAAAAAGTTTTTTGAGGGAAGGGGGCAGGAGATCAGATCAGAAAGAAAACTCAGAAATTTCAAACCCAAAAAGGCAGAAAGAAAGCTATTCAAAGAAAGTTAAGCAGTATGATGTTAAATTTATACTCTCATGAAAAAATTTAATGGTCCACTTCCCTCCAGACTAGGAAGATTGAAAGTCTTAGGGTAAAATCCCACTTGTTCCTAAAAAGTTCACAGTTCAAGGTGGAAAATGAAGTCTACACATAAATAATCATAGGAGGAACAAATCAAATGCATGATAGAAAATGTACTGTGATGTTGCAATTATTTCTATGAAGATGACCCCACAGAGTGCAAAGTGAATGGACTGTTTCATTTGGGCAGATCTACCTGAACTTTGGGGTTGGAGACGGGCTACTTCCACACTTGGAACAACATAACTAGAGAAGTCGACTTTTGAGCAGCTTCAGTTTCCATGACATACTCTTCAAGTGTTATTAGTGGAACTCAAAATAAGAAAACCTGTTGCATGAATGAATTTGCTTTTTTACTTCCAATTCCATTCAAACATTTACTGACCACCTATTATGTGCAAAACACTGTACTAGGTGCTGGGGCTAAATGGATAAACAAGGTAGCTATGGTCCCTAGCCAGCTAGAACTTAAAGGTTAGTAGGGGAAACAGCTTCAAACATTTCTTTTCATTCAGGGATTTTGACCAACAAACCATAAGACCTGAAACAGTGAGATGTTGAAAAGGAGGAGACCACTGCATGGCTATCCCACAGGGCTGTTATAAAGCTCATAGAATAAAACAGCTTGAAAAACAGTTGATAAAGCCCAAACTGTTATACAAGGGGGAAAGTAATAGTCTATGATGGGTCAAAAGGGGCAACAAATGCTCAAATCCTAAGGAAAGAGACGACAAGCACCCACACAAGCATGCCTCAACAATTAGAAGGTCAACCAGAACATTCAAGCGTATCAGAATGAGAACAGGCTTTGAGTCCCACAGACACTGCCACTTTCTCAGTTGCAAGGCTGGGCCTATTTATTAGTTCTTCATCTGTAAAGTGTAGATAAGAATTGCTACACTGCCTCCCACCTCCATGGTTGTTCTAAGGATTAAACGTATAGACAACTTTACGACACCTAGTTCAATGCCTGACATGCTTAAGTCCTCAATGGTAGCCTTTTGCTTCAGGATGCAAAAATGAAAAAGCCCATTTTAGGGAGAAAGGCACAAGTTACGCTGTTGAGAATGCTTTCGTGAGCTACTGCTGTGGCTGAAATTCAGAATCACATCTAAGATTTAGCCATCATGGCCACTGACACAAAGTAATGGATCAGAAGCTGAGTCATGTTAAAATTTAAAAATGACATGCTACTTACTTCTATATGTTCTTTACAGTATTCCAACCCAATGTCACTAAGTATTTTTTTCACAGTTTTCCGGGCTTTTCTTAAACTGCCAAGATTGTTGACAGGAAGTTGGAACATAGTTTCTATTGGAAAAAAAAATTTAAGTCAAAGTCAAAACACGTACAACTTGTAATATTCACTAATTCCACTGATGACAGGATCATAAACCCTACCCATCTGACAAAAAAGGTGCACAGGTATCCTCATCTAGTGTGTACACACACAGACACACACGCTTGCATGTGCATATGGCTCGACTTATCCATCCATCCATCCATGATCCATCCATCCATCCTTTTTTTAAGACAGAGTCTTGCTCTGTCACGCAGGCTGGAGTGCAGTGCAGTGCACTCATGGTTCATGACTGCAGTGCACTCACGGTTCACCACAGTCTCAACCTTCTGGGCTCAAGTGATCCTCTCGCCTAAGCTTCCCAAGAGGATGGGACTCCAGGAGTGCGCCACTACGCCCAACTAATTAAAAAAATTATTTTTTTGTAGAGACTAGGTCTCACTATGTTGCCCAGGCTGGTCACAAACTCCTGGACTCAAGCCATCCTCCCGCCTTGGCATCCCAAAGTGCTGGGATTACAGGTGTGAGCCACTGAGCCAGGCACGTATCTACTATACTTTGAATACTTAAAGCAGGCAGGCAAAATAAGTACTCTCTGATCTTCCCAGTTTTTAATAGGACATTTTGACTATGAGTCTAATCTGGCGTAATTCTGATAAGACTTTAAAAAAACAGTTCAGCAATGAACTTCAAGTTGAAAATTAGAGAAACAATAGCAATCAATTATTTTTAAATCAAGTGTTCTTTTCTCCTTTTGATGTTGAACATCTGAAAACAGAAAAATGTTTACCAGTTCATCATCATTATACAGTTTTGAGTGCCAGGGTAAAGAGGTTTTTGTTGAATTGGAACTGTCCTGCCTACTGCTATGGTATTCTTAAAAAAAACCAAACAAACAAAAACTAAAAACCTTAAGTTTCTGTATACTTCCCAAACTAAATACAGTAATGATATATGACTCGACCAACACATGCCCCCACTCCTGCAACATACCTGGGCAACATACCTGGGCAAAGGCACTCACAAATGTTAACTGTTACAGACTTTAAGGAGGATCCTTTTGAAAAAATGAAAAGCCTGTATGTATGTGAGGGAACTGAAAAATTATTTTAATGACCTCATACATTAAATTAGATAGACCAACTTTCCCAAGTTCCTTAAAACAAAAGTTTGTCTTTAATGAGAAAATAAAATCAGTAAAACTTGGGCAACTATGTATGGTTTCTAATGAGATCATAAATGCTTTCCATAATATGGTAAAAATTTATCAATAATCCAAATGTAACACAATTTCACAGGATGTCAAGTTCTAAAACCCAAAATAGCAAAAACAAAAGGCAAAGCACCAGGAATTAAAATTTAATATATGCAAATCCAGTTTTCTAATTAATAAAGGCTGTTACTCTGTAATACTAATATCATCTGTAAATGGCAAGTCAACTAATCCAAATGTAATAAAATGTTGCCTCATTTATTACTCTAATCCAAAATCAACGTTAACTACAAAAAATGGGAAATAAAAGGAGAGCGTGAAATCTACCAAAATCAAACAGTAACCCCTAGAAATTTTCAAACTGGGTATGTTACTCTAACTTAGAAGTCTCAAAATATTCTATATAAAGTACCAAAGAATAACTGGGGCCAAAAATGAAAAGTATTTTGAAAAAACCTTCTCAGCCTTATCATACTCAAGATAGAATTGCTGCTCACTATGAAGCAATGACTGTGATGTCCCCTGCCCTCTCTGCTCTGCTAATAATCTGACTATTGTGAAGCCAACTACAGACTTAGAAGTCACTTCTGATATAAATTAAGACCAAATCAATTATTTTTCGTCTAAATTGTATTGCTAAATTATTTTAAACCATCTTTTTGTGGTGGCTTAAAATCAGCAAATTCTTTATCACTTGCTTCCTTTAAAACGATTACTACACGCTGGGCGCGGTGGCCCACACCTGTAATCCCAACACTTTGGGAGGCTGAGGCGAGCAGATTACAAGGGGTCAAGAGATCAAGAACAGCCTGGCCAACATGGTGAAACCCCATCTCTACTAAAAATACAAAAAATTAGCTAGGCATAGTGGCACCTGCCTGTAGTCCCAGGAGGCTGAGGCAGGAGAATCGCTTGAACCTGGGAGACGGAGGTTGCAGTGAGCCAAGATCACACCACTGCACTCCAGCCTGGTGACAGAGTGAGATTTCGTCTCAAAAACAAACAAAAAACAAACACAGTTACTACAAATCAGGTCTTTTAGAGAGAAGCACATGCTAGAAAAATATTTCAGAAATACAGAAAAGTGTCACAGGCTAATTCTGAAGAAACCAGGCATTAAAATGGATGCCCACAGATACCTAAGACTGGGAGGAGACGTCTTGTTTCTCTATTCATTTCATAAACTCTCTTTGGGCCAAAATTCAGTTATTTGGGAACTTCCTGAGTTAACTCTGCTTCACACTTCATAAGAGATGTGTCCAGAAGCCAGACATTAATGGTTTCCCTGCCTCCTGGATCAGTGGCTCAACAATCTTAGAAAAACAAAGACATAAAGATTTGGAAATGTAGCCACCACTGGGGTCATTAGTCTACAGAAAACATTAAGAAGAATCAAGCGGTAGCTTGGGGGAAAGAAAAACCCATTCTCCTAAGTGCCTACCCACAGCTTAAAAAGTTGGTTTAAGACATTAAGATGAAGCATCTCACTGCCCGATAGGTATTTTTTTCTGAAAAAGTGAGTATGCCCATAAGGGAACTTAGTTGTAAGAAACTTGTAATTTATAAAAAGCGGTATTTCAGCCACAGAGTTGGTGTTGGGTTTACTTATCTATTTTGAATTTAAAAGGTTTATAAATAAAGCAGTGACACTGCTTACTGGGAAATGCTGTACCAAAAAAATGTTATTTTGCTGTAGGCTTAGTAACTAAGAGGAATCTGTATTTTTTTTTTTTTTTTGAGACGGAGTCTCGCTCTGTCGCACAGGCTGGAGTGCCGTGGCGGGATCTCGGCTCACTGCAACCTCTGCCTCCCGGGTTCATGCCATTCTCCTGCCTCAGCCTCCCCAGTTGCTGGGACTGCAGGCGCCCACCACCATGCCTGGCTAATTTTTTGTATTTTTAGTAGAGACAAGGTTTCACTGTGTTAGCCAGGATGGTCTCGATCTCCTGACCTCGTGATATGTCCAACTCAGCCTCCCAAAGTGCTAGGATTGCAGGTGTGAGCCACCACGCCCGGCCTTTTTTGAGACAGAGTTTTGCCTGTTGCCCAGACTGGAGTACAATGCACAATCTCAGCTCACTGCAACTTCTGCCCCCCGGGTTCAAGCAATTCTCCTCCTCAGCCTCCTGAGTAGCTGGGATTACAGGTGCGTGTCACCACATCACACTAATTTTTGTATTTTTAGTACAGACGGGGTTTCACCATGTTGGCCAGTCTGGTCTCAAATTCCTGACCTCAGGTGATCCACCTGCCTCAGCCTCCCAAAGTGCTGAGATTACAGGTGTGAGCCACTGCGCCTGGCCAGAGTTCCACTTTTCATCCAGGCTGGAGTGTAGTGGTGCAATCACAGCTCATTGCAGCCTCAACCTCCTGGGCACAAGTCATCTTCCCACCTCAGCCCCACCAGGCAGCTGGGACTACAGGTGCACACTACCACGCCTGGCTATATTTTTGTTTTTGTTTTTTGGTAGAGATGGGGTTTTGCCACGTTGCCCAAGCTTGTCCTGAACTCCTGAGCTCAAGCGATCTGCTGGCTTTGGCCTCCCAAAGTGCTGGGATTACAGGTGTGCACCACCATGCCTGGCCAGGAATCTATGTTCACGTTAACTCAGAACATTCTACATCTTTTCAGTGTAAAGATTATAATGCTCTTCATATGCCTATTTCTGACATTCCTAATAACCTTGGAAATTCCATAATGTCCCTTTCTCCAGATAAGTGTGTGCCCTCCATGCGTTTGCTCATGGAGGTCATTTCTCTAAGATTTTCTCCATTTGGAGCTGAAATAACAGTCATATACATTGGCACCTTCAAAAGCATTTGCAAATATTTTTTTTTTTTTTTTCTTGCTTTAAATACTTTCTCAGTAGATAAAACAAGCACACAATTCAGAAATATAAGCAAAGAAGGCTTCCTTTTCACTCCTATCCCACCAGCCACGCAGCTCCCCATCCCAGAAGGGGCCATTGTTACCCTTTCTTGTGGGCTTTTTGAACTATAACAAGCCAAACAATTCCTTGGAAAAAGTTTCAATCAAACTCTATCAGTCAATCATTATGGATGATAAGAAAAAGAACAGAAGGACCCTATGTTTCTTTGCATCTACTGCTTGCTGTTAAGAAACATAAGTTCAAATCAATAGCTGGCTCCAGGGTTCATTAATGTTATCTATTTGATTCTCCTTTACAAGTCTGGACAAGGGATCTATATTTAAGTAACTGAGGGGTGGGAACAGAATAGATAAGAAATTGTCTCTGCCTGAAATTCAGGGTCCTTTCCTCACTTTTGAATGCAAAGAGAGCTAAAAACTAAAATATAGATAATTATTACTCTTAGGGAGAAAGAAACCTTAACACTAATGCCAAAAATTGTCCCAGAGATGGGTTTTGACATGTGGAAAGATGGGCATACTGTCTCCCCAGATTTGCCCCTTGATAGCTAATCCTTTCTCTTTGCCTCCTTATCAGCATGGCCATTAAAATAAAAAAAAAAAAAAAAAAAAAAAAATTTGCCTGGTGTGGTGGCTCATGCCTGTAATCCCAGCACTTTAGGAGGCCAAGGCAGGCAGATCACCTGAAGTCAGGAGAGTAGCCTGACCAACATGGAGAAACCCCATCTCTAACAAAAATACAAAATTAGCTGGGTGTGGTGGAGCATGCCTATAATCCCAGCTACTTGGGAGGCTGAGGCAGGAGAATCGCTTGAATCCGGGAGGCGGAGGTTGCGGTGAGCCTAAATCGCGCCATTGCACTCTAGCCTGGGCGACAAGAGCAAAACTCTGTCTCAAAAAAACAAAAC